TGTGTGTATGTGTGTATGTGTGTGTGTATGTGTGTGTGTATGTCTGTGTGTATGTGTGTATGTATGTATGTATGTATGTATGTATCTATGTATGTATGTATGTATGTATGTATATTATATATATATGTGAAACCAGGCAGCAATGCACTGCGAGACACAAGGCTGCCGGTTTTGCCTGGAGACGCAGCAATCTTGGCTTAGGCCTATATGGCCGCAGTCGGACATGTTATGTCCAGGTTCCTGCAGACATGTGTGAACAACTGTCCTGGCATGTACATATGACAGCTGTCCTGTTCGTGCATGATGTCCCAACTGTCCGGATGCTATCCATGAGATGGCATGTCTTTCTCAGTAGATTCCCTTCTTTTGTTGAAATGAGATGGCATCCGGAAGAAGGTCACCAACACATTCGCTGTTTGCCCAATCAGGCCAGTGCAGCTGTACGGGAGGTCTCCATAGCTCACGTTTTGTTCGAGCTGCCTCCATTCGGCACTGCCATCTTTCAGGTCAAACCTACCATATGAGCTCCTGAGACTAAACTCCTCAGGATCATGTCTGGGCTTGGGAGTCCTAAGGGCTCTGGCGTTTCGAGCCACGTGCACTACCACACCATCTTGTTGGTGCCAACCGGGACTCTCACTCAGCCTCGCAAGCCGGCTCAGTAGGGGATCAGCAGGGCTCATCGGCTTACCCACCTTCACCTCGTTGGCCACGGCATTGGACTTTGCAACCTTGGAGGTCTGCTTGATGAAGTCCTGGTTAAACTTCACGCACCATTCGCCTTTCTCCAGGATGTGATGAAAATGACTCACATCCATGTCCTTCGTCAGCGCATCGACGATCATGTTTTGCGTTGAAGTCCACCGCAAGCACGTTTGGGGCTGCCGCAATGTTGATCTCAACCAACTCACGGTAAATGCCAGGCTCTTTTGGGACCCATAGCTTGGAGTATCGGAACATCCCTTGTCAAAGACGTCCTTCGCATCAGTCACCACTGTCAAAGGCACTTGAGACAGCGATGAAGAAACATCTTTGCCATCCACAGGAAGTCCAAAAGCTTCCGCCAAGCAGCCACGTAGGTAAATGCCCACGTCGAAGCATTCTTCCACTCCCAAAAGCTCAGCCGCATACGTTGACCTGCAAACTCTGGTCAACCTGTGGCTTCTTGCATCCAACACTGCAAACTTGCCAGGGCGCCCAGCCATCAAGTCCTTGTCCGCGATGAGGATCAAGTAGGCTGATTGGCTGTAGACCTTCAGCATGGGATCTTCTCCAGCAGCACCACTTCGCTGGACGTTGCCCAAAGAGGCATCTGAAACACCCAGGAGGCCACAACCATCCAAGTTCATAGGTCGAAACCACAAAGCAAACTTGGGCGTCTGTTTGAAGCGCCGCAGCAAAAGGTTTGCACGCAACATAGTGCCAATGGTTGGAGATTCTCCTTGGAGAGTGCAAAGTTGAAAACCTTGGTCAAAACGGACCTGTGCCACCAACCATTGCATGCTGCCTAGCAAGGCTCTAAGCTGTTTATGCTCAGCAGGTGTCAATGTTGCTTCTGGCGTCTTTCGCCGGTTTTCTGCAATCACCAACGGCTTCAAATTGGAGTGGTACTCCTCCATGGAAACTGAAATGCTTCCGTCGCCATGCTGCTTGATCAGCTTGCCACAGTAGTGAAAGCTTTTCTCCTCCAAACTTCCATAGCCAAGTTCTTCTCCCAGCTTCAGCAAAAGTTGCTTCGCCCTGTCGTTTCCACCAAACAGCAAATCATCAACATGACTGCAAATCATGCCTTCGCATTCACCAGTGGGCGACCAAAGCATCCAAAGGGCAGAGTCAATGGATGAACGTTTCCATCCCAAGGCTGTGAGGGACTTGTGCAATCGAAGGTACCACCTTCTTGGACTGTCACTCAAACCAAAAATGCCCTTCTTGAGGCGAGCTAAACCACCAGCGCCAAGAGGAAGACCAGGCTCTGTCGGGTCATTGGTGCTGAGGTTCTCGATGTAGAGGATGCGTTCACCATCCAAAAACAACTCACCTTTCAAAAATGCTGCTTTCACATCTGCGCTCAAAAGGTGCCAACCCTTGGAGGCTGTGAAAACCAAAAGCAAATGGACTGATGTCCTGGATGCCGTTGGGGCGTCCTTTCGAACTTCATATGCTGAAACATCTTTGTATCCCGGCACCACCAGTCTTGCAGATGCCTTCAAAGGAAGCTGTCGCTCCTCAGTACGCAGGCCATCGTTCTTGTCAGTGTAGACATAGCGGGGGTGCAGGATCAAATGGGATTTGTTGCTCTGCTTGAGGTTCTCTCTGATACGCTTTGCCTCATCAGGGCTCAGCACTTCAACTGCATCATTGTCAACCCATGTTTGCCAACCCTTCTGTGCAGCTTCACGGAACTCAGCTTTGGCCTCAGGCGTCATGTCACGCCACTTGTACTCTTTGCGGGCTGTCTGCACGGCCATAGCTTCTTGTTCTCCTCGTGGCAACATAGTTCCAACTGCTTTCATGGCTTGCAGTTGAGATCTTGAAGGAAGGGGCCATGAACCTTTCCAAGTGCCACGATCTTCACATTCAAAGTCCATAGGATTTGATTCCTCAGCTGCAGCTTCAAGGAAAAGGCGTCTCAGAGGGTGAAGATCATCTTGTTGGAGTGCCGCTTGAACTTCTTTCACCTCATCATGAGACAAAACCAACGCATCAAAAGGCTTCTTGGAACCACTTGCCGTAGAAGAAGCTTTCGGGGTGAGCGTTCTGGCTAGCTCATCCAGAGTCATTTCAGCTTCTCGTTTTCCAGCAACAGGATCCGCAGTCATCTCCTTTGCTCGCTCCACAGCGCGACCAAGTCGAGGTGTCGCAGGTGCTGAAGGCGTTTTCGGTGCTGCAGGTGCCACAGGCGTAGCAGGAGACAAGGCCGCAGGAGCCGTTGTCGGATGAGCCATCAAACCAGCTCGAAGCACCGCTTCAGGCACAGGAGATCTGCTTCGCAGCGTTGTCCTTCTGGAGGATGCCACAGATGGCGGCATGGAAGATGCCACTGTGGGAGCTGCTGTTGTTCCACCATCATGCGCAGGTCGCAAGGCTTGTGCAAATTCTTGCGGAGCTACCGGTGGTAAATCGGTAGGCGCACTTGCTGCTTGTTGAGCTTGTTGTGGAAAAACAGGAGCCACTGATGCCGCAGGTTCAGCTTGAACTGCTTCAGAGTCCTCAGCATTCGCAACTGCTTCAGGAGGTTGAGCTTGAGCTCGTTGTCGTAGAGCTTGATCATGTTGAGCTGCTTCGACAACTTCATCAATTGCATCACGCCAAGTTTCGGCGGCAATCTGCTCCATGGTGCTTGCCAAGCGCACATGTTCTCGGGCACATTTGGTCAATTGACCCTTGTGTGAAAGAAAACAATTCACATCACCTTCGTTTGCCACCAGCAATGCAGGACCATGCCAGCGACGCAGGCTCAACTTCTTTCGGGATCCAGCAGTCTTGTTGTTGTACTTGGTCTGCCTGAAGTAGTACACAATGGATCCAGGTTCAAGAGGTTGAGTCACCGTGGTATTTCGTGACCTGCTCAGCAAGGCTCGGCGTAGGCCTCTTGAAAAGTGGAGTCTTGCCTTCGCCACTCTGGCTGTTTCTCGCATTGCCACCTGTCTGGCCAAACTTGGGCGTGAGTCAACAAGTCCATGCTCAGCGACCCGTTGACCAAAGTCACCAAGAACATCGCCTTGAAGGCGGGGCTGTCTGCCCAGTGCCGCTTGTGCTGGCGAAACACCAAGTTCATTCACATCGCCGTTGTAGGCAGTGATGGCCTCTTGCAAGGCTAAGTCCATATCTTCCTTGCCAGTGACGCTTTGGCTTTTGACGATGGAGTGCAAAAGAGCTTTGATGATGCCACCGCCGCGTTCACATAGACCATTCTGCCAAGGCGCTTGAACTGCACAGTGCCAGAGGAGAATTGCATTCTCTGAGCAAAGTTGCTCAAACTCCCATGACACAAATTCACGTCCTTGATCAGCAACAAGAACTCTCGGTGCTCCAAAAATGGGAAACCAGCGCTTCTTCATGAACTTGATCACTGAGGCGGAGCTCTTGTCTGGCAGCACTTCTGCAAGTTGAAATCTTGAGCAGTGGTCGATCACGTGCACGATGTAAAATCGTTGCTCTGCCAGATCGTACCCTTCAAAGATGTCGATGTGGACTTGGTCTGAGACATCTCGAGGTGTTGGAAGAGATGCAGGCCTTCTGGCCTTTGGAGCTCTCATTTCTTGGCACACGCTGCACTTGTGGAGGCGTGCAGCCTTCACCACTTCAGGTGGTGCTCCGCTCAGAGCTAGAGCACGTGCCAGCCTCTTGTTTGATCTATGCCCCGTGTTCTCGTGAAGGCGTTTGATTGCCTGCTTCACGGCTGGAGAGATGGCAGCCTTTTCAAGTCCAAGTCCATCAGGCTGACCATCTTCCGAGGAAGAGGGAGCATCAACTCCAGGGGCTAGTCGTTCTTCTTCATCACCTGAAATTTCATCACCACCTCCATCTTCCACAGCCAGAGCTTCTTTGGGCTTGGGGCTGAACTGCCGCTCAAATTCCTCCTCCATAGCCAACACCATGGTCTTGGCAAGTTGACCAGGGTAATGCCCAGCTCTTGCAGTGATCTTGGAACCACCAATGACAGGCTGATGAAGGTGATCGCCTGTGCATCGAACTTGATCAAGGTGAGAACGAACTGCCTCACTGCTGGTTGCCACTTGTGTTGCCTTCTTGTGAAGCCACCCATCAGCAGATCGCAAGTTGAATCTGCACTGGTCAAAACGTGCCAGCTTTGCCTCTTCTTCCTCCAAGAACTTGATGATTTCCGGCAAACTCCAGGATTCTGAGCCAACCGGGTTCTCAAGGATGAAGTGACGGCCATTGCGCAGTTGCAGGCGCGCCAAAGAAAGAGCAAATCTGATGAGTTCTCGATGGGCTTCACGTTTCTCAGGAAGATCAGCAGCAGGGTTGAGCCTTTGCAGTGGGCTCCAAGGTCCGCAGGGATAGGCCAAAACCAAAAAGTAGGGCTTCTCGCGCTTGACCTTGGCATAGGCTGCACGGCGATCAAGGGCTTTCATAAAGTCCCAACCAGATTCCAAAGAAAGTGGATCGCCAGTGAGGTGCCCACGTTTTTGAGCTTCAAGGGTCACCCGCTGCGTAGCAGTGAAAATCTCTTGCACCAGAGGATCACGAAGCTGGGGATGAGCAAGGTCAATTGTTGTCACAAAAGTTTCATTCATGAAGTCCATCAAATTGCTCTCCCATTCGAAGTCCATCACAGCTTCAACCTCTTTGGTGCTTCTTGAAACCAAACGTCTGTCTCTTTCATGCCGCTCCCAAGCTTGTGCAATCTGCTGAGAAAGTCCAGGCCTCAGCTCTTGGTGGAGTTTGTAAGGGTTCAGCCCTCGATCTCCCTCCACTCGCTGTCCTCCTCCGGATGCACTCCATGCTGCCTCATGTAGTTTTCCACTTGAAGGTCTCCGGCAGCTGCCAGTCGGATCTGGTACTCTTGTTCTGGGGTCAATTCTTGGCTTTGACCCATGGGAGCATCTGGAGTTTCCAGCTCGCCAGGAGTGGCTCGAAACTGGTTGTTGGCCATGTGCATGACATGTTGCATCACTTGGGTCAGCATCGCTTGAAAGCGCTCCTCCTGGTTCGCCAGGAGCACTTGCATATCGTGGGTGTTTTGCACCACTTCTCTTTCGGTGATGTCCATCCCAGGCCGCTTCATTCCAGGTGGTGGAGCTTTCATCTTGGCTTTGGGCTCCACGGTGAGGCCACTGGAACTGCTTCCGCTGGCTGCCACTGTAGATGCAGGCTGCTTTGAATCCATCTTGAGCTCGTTCACCAAGGGCCTGCACAGGGCCTTGAGGTCCTCCACAGTCGCCTTCTCGGGGACAATGATGTGGAGCAGAGCCGCCAGCCGGAGAAGATCGGCCTTGAGAGTTGGAAGTCCACCCTTTGGTCCAATCAGCTGCCTGATTGCTTCGGTCTTCTGACCACGCTCTTCGGTTTTCTTTGCTTGTGCTTGGGCTTCTTGCAAGGCGGCTTTTCGCATCGCAGCTGCTGCTCCTTTGACTTGTCGAGCAGCCATCATGCCCATGAGCAAGGGGTCCTCCAAGAAGGTCATCTTGAGGCCTTGACGGCTTCGGAAGCCGTTCAGCTCGATCATGTTGCTCAGGGTGAAGCTGCCATTCTGCCTGGCCTTCGAAGTCCATCGTCTTGGCCAGCTGCGGAAGCGAAATTCCATGTTGCTTCCCATCTGCTCGCTTTGCAAAAGCCACTGGTCTATGGTGATCACACTGGGGTAGGGCACCGGCAAGAACCGCAGATGCGGCCGCTGCAGCAACCACAAGAGCATTCCATGAACGTGCCATGCTGCGCGGCTTGCCAGTCGCAGCCACATTCTTTTCCAGCGGAGCAAGATCACCCTTGACACGTTGACTGGGCTTTCTGGTTCCATCTGGTCGTAGGGCTCGGTCAGCAGAAGACTCAGGAGAGGAGGTTGTCGTAGATCTGAAGCTCGTTGAAGAGCGCATGGCTTGAGCCGGACGAGCCAAAAGCAGCGAAGCGGCATCATTCGCAGGCTGCACCACCAAACCAGAATGCACCAAGTCTGCAGCTTGTTCCCCTTGTTCTGTGACAAGATGCTCATGTTCAGGCTTGGCATGTATGGCATGAGCACTGAGTTTGCGTTTCAACCATTCTTCAGGGGAAACTTCAACTTCTACAACACCATCTAACCCAGTTCGCCGCCATCTGAGCGCACCTGGCAAAGTCCATGTTGGTGGCGCCAGACGCAAGGCGAAGTGACCTGCAGCAATTTGGCGCAAGGGCACCAGAGAGGCATCCAAGAGATCTGCCCGCAGCATCTTGCGAGAGAAACTCAAAACAGCGCCAATTGCATCCAGGAAGTCTCTGCCAAGTAAAAGTCCAAGGCTTGGCACATCAACTACTGAAACCCAAACCGTCAAAAGAGAGGAACCAACCATCATTGGCAAACGGTATCTCATGAAACTTGTTTTGCTACCACCATTGCCAAAACGAAAAACTTCACTTTCAGGGGATGCTTTGATGAGGTCCTTGATCTCCTTTGGGGCTTTCTCGAGGGATTTCAAATAGTGATTCAACCAAACGTTCCCACTGCAGGTGCGGTTGCAAGCACTGTCCAACGCACCAATCATCCTTTTATCCAAAGAAAGCACTTGGGTCTGCGCCGCATTGGATTCATTCACATAGTCTAAAACTTCAGGCAAGGAAAGGCTCCGGGTTGAGCAGGCCATGACTTCGTGGGCATCTTCAGGCTTGATGCCACTGTCAACCACTTCTATGGCATGCTCCGTGTTCAAGGCTTCAACCATTTTGACATGTTTTGTCGGTCCACTGAGGTTTCCTTGGCCCTTAGGTTTGTAAAGACCGGCGCCGGGACGTCTGCACTGTGGGTCTCCGCCCCAGTGTCCGCTTTCTCCGCAATCCCAACATTTGGTTGTGGCCTTCTTTGCAGAGTCCTGATTGCCATGCAGCTTGGGCTTGAAATTGCCCTTTCCTGTTCCTGCTTTTCCGAAGCCACGGTCTTTGCGAACTTCCGCAATGCGGCTTCGAGCTTCACGCATGGTAACAAGGGATTCAGCCGCTGCTTCCACACCGTTCTCCAACTCCTCAAGCAATTGAGGTTCCACTGAACCTTCATCTTCCAGTTGCTGAAGCTCTGATGCCAAAACTTCGGCCTCAGCTTGCAAAACCTCTTCCAGCGATGCCGGTGCCGACTGTGTTTGGTCGTCTGCTGGCAGAAGTTCTTCTTCTTCAGGTTCATCTTCCTCCACACCTTCAGCCACCATAGCTTGTCGTGGAGCAGTCTGAAAAGGCTTGCTGAAACCACTAGGCTTTGCAGAGTTATTGGAAGATGCCGATCTGAAAGATCGGAATGTCGAAGCATGCGAGCTGCCGCTGGACGGCACTGAGGTGCGACCACTGTGTCCAGACTGCTGCGAACTGCTCAAAAACCGTTGCAACAATGGGGGTCGGTCAGGAGGACGTCGGTGAAGCGGATCTGCAGTGTGAAGATCCCTGAAAAGCCTCAGCGCTTCAGACTCCACCAAGTCATAGCCCTCTTGAGCTCCCAGTGCAGTGTCCAGCAACTGCTTTCGAATGGAGTCCAGGCCCATTCGATCTTTCAAAAACCAACCAAGTTCACCATCAGGCAAGGTGATGCCCTCACGTTTCAGCTCAGATGCAAGTGTCCTGAACCTCGTGCAAAAGGCAGTGATGGGCTCACCAGGTGAACGTCGAAGATCTTGGTAAAATTGAGCACGTAGTTCACCACGTCGGTCCAGCAGCGTCTTTCCAACTGAAGTCTCAAGGGCCGCCATCAGCTTCTTGAGTCCAGCGAAGGGGTCAGCTGCCACACGCTCAACTGTTTCACCATCTTCAGTGACCATAGTGTCTGCTGGTGTTCCCAGCAGCTCATCAGGTTCAAACTCCTCGCAACGGGCACGCACTACGCCATATTGGCGAAGCGCCCAGCGAGCTGCCACATTGTACTTTTTGCAAGACTCGGTGTCCAGGCTAGCCATCCACCAATTCATCTCCTTCTTGAAGTTGCGCCATTCGGCCGGGTTTCCACTCCATGTAGGCACTCTATACCATGAGCTGCTGCCCTTCTCATCGTCAGCCATTGCGATACCAACAATGCAAAAAGGCCCAGCAAGGCCGCCAGCAAGAAGTAGAGGAACCCAAAAAGGTTGTTATACTCAGTCACAAAGAGCTCGGCAAGGTAAAAGGTGCAAGGCCCGAGGGTCTCAAAGGTCTTTAAGAAGTAGAGCTCGAGGTCCAAGCACGTGCAAAAAGGTGCCAAAAGCCACAGCGCAAATGCCTTAGGCAATGCTGTAGCAGCAAAAAGTGACCAGGCTGTCACCACTCAGCAGCCACCAAGCCAGTCCGCAGGAAGGCAAAGAGGTCCAAGTAGTCGGCCAGCCAGGCCAGAGGCAAAAAGTGACCAAGGCTGTCACCACCCAACCACCAGGCAAATCCGCAGGAAGTCCAGGAAGTCCAAGTAGTTTCCAGCCACGGCCAGAGCAAAAAGTGACCAGGGCCGTCACCACGCAGCACCCACCAAGCAAATCCGCAGGAAGTCAAGGAGGTCCACGTAGTAGCCAGCAAAGGTCAGATTGCGGTGCCCAAAAGGCTGCCACCAACCGCAAGACACCAAAGAGCTCCGCAGGAGCGTCCCAGATGTCCCCGATGTAGCCCAGCCGTAGGGCAGGAGGTCCAAGAGCAGAGCAAAGCGCAGCGGTGCAAAGCAATTGGCCAGGGTCGACTCAGGCTCCGGTGCCACTGTGAAACCAGGCAGCAATGCACTGCGAGACACAAGGCTGCCGGTTTTGCCTGGAGACGCAGCAATCTTGGCTTAGGCCTATATGGCCGCAGTCGGACATGTTATGTCCAGGTTCCTGCAGACATGTGTGAACAACTGTCCTGGCATGTACATATGACAGCTGTCCTGTTCGTGCATGATGTCCCAACTGTCCGGATGCTATCCATGAGATGGCATGTCTTTCTCAATATATGACTTGGGGATGGTAAACATGGCATTGGCTCACATCAAATCCAAGAAAATCCCTGTGATTTACATCCCAATACCCTCTGGTAATCCTCCGAGCTGGCAGCACGGGCACCACCAAAGGTGGCGCGGGCACTGTAGCTGAGACCTGCGCCGATTTCGGGGCGAGACTTCCCATTGTGAATATCCTATGGGAACAATGGGAACATTGGGATATTAAAAACTCACCAAAAAATAGGATATACATATTGATATGAATTGAATCTCCTATTTCTAATATGAAAATGACATGGGAAATGTCCCATTCATATTAAATATTAATATCTAATATTGATTTAATATCCCAATGACCTACTGGAACTGGTGCATAGGGAACCGGGGAATGGGATGATGGTTTGATACTACCTTTAGCACCTGTCTGAAAATAGGCTACCCTTTTTCCCCCACGGGATAGTCATGATTTTCGTTATATTTTGGACATTAATATCATGGACATAGCCCATTTTCAGATTACATACCCATTTGATGAGATTCTCATCCTTTTTGAAGGAAAAAAACCTGGGATGAAAAAGAGTGTTTTCACTGAAAACACCAGCGATGGCAGCGATGGCACAAGACCTAAGTGATCAAAATTGAGAACTCGACCTGAAAGGGGCTTTACACCAACAAACATGGAGATTTGAACTAACATCTACCCTCTGGTAAACGTTTATATACATAACTATGGAAAATCACCATTTTTAATGGGAAAATCCACTATAAATGGCCATTTTCAATAACTATGTTGAATTACCAGAGGGTAACAACAATGATCAAACTGTCAACAACCATCAAAGAACTGGGATTCTTTTCGGCCAAAAGATTGAATTTCACCAACAAACGCGGTGGGAGTCAAAGCAAAAGGACTTCGGCAACCAACCAACACAGGGATTTTGTCCAGCAAGGTGGACACCACGTAAAGGCGTGAAGTCAAACAAGCACCTGCCGGTACTTAGCTACTTGATAAGAAACAGTTTTTTTTTCACGGCACAAGTGGGTCAAAACAAAAATGTTCAAATGGGAGAATAAAAACGACCAAGAATGTCCACTAAGGCTCTAAGGATTTTCGCTTGGCGATCACACGAAATGGTGGCCAAAAATCACCGAACATATCCGATGAAATGGGGATATCAGCAACCTTAAAAAGTGGACACCTTTGAAACATCTATGAAAACATCTGTGCTCGGGACTAGGGTCAGAACCTGGTTTCTGGACCCATCCTCCCAGGGTTGGATAAGAATGGGATTTCCAGCGGATTATGATTGGTTAGGATCATGCCCTTTCTTATCATCAACCAACCATCGTTTATCAACTATCCCCATATCTTTGATGCCAAAAAACGTAGCTCTCTATATATAATCACCTATAAATGATGGTTACCATCTGGTTATTTAACAGTTTGCCATGGAAAATCACAAATTTTTAAGTTCGGTAAACCATCTATTTCGATTAGGGTCATTTATACCATGGCGAACTGTCAGCCATAACCAGGTTGGGTAAATCCCCGAGAAATCCCCCAAATTGGTCATCAACCGGGATGTGTTTCAATCCTCCGCTCCTGCTTTTCTTCGACATCTTCGGTGGTCTCCAAAACGGACTCCTGTTTTGACGGCGGTAGACTTACCTCGCTACAAACAGAAACAGCAAAAATGAGGTTTTAAGTTTTGACCATCCAAATATTGATTTAACCATGAAGAATATGAATTTAATGGTGAAAAACTGGATTTAACCAACAAGAGCATGGGAATTTTCATGGAATTTCACCAACAATAAGGATTCAACAATGGTAAATTTGTTGATAGCTGCTAGCTTAACGGATGGGTTTGGGGCACACATATCCATAGTTGCATGTGTGAACTTAAACCAATTCTTGGCTCAGGGGGCCGTGTTGGGAGTGGGTCAATACCTTCAAGACCAGGGTATTCATACCCAACAACCCCAAAATTGGATGTTTATTCACGTCACACTGTGTTCATTTCTTGAAAAGTCGATATGTCTCCAGTGTTCTCTTTTTTCTAGAATTGGTTGATTTCGGAAAATCCCATTTGCGATGGGAAAAACCTGCCACTTTCCTTCAGATGTCCCGCCATAGAAAATGTTTCCCCCAACATAACAAGGTCCAAAGAAACCTGGGACCTCTCTGAGGATCACCTCAGGGGATAAGCCACGAAGAAAAGAAGACTTACGATCCCCAAGGTTACGTTCACCAGTTGTTTGGTGCGATCCTCCAAGCATGATATAATTCCATGCAGTCTAGATTTTCCGTACATATATATATATACGTATATATATATATATACATATATATATATACATATTCCCATACTATATAGATATTCCATGATATTCCTAATATATTTCCATTATCTATTCCATAACTATCCCATATTCGATATCCGTCAAGTCAACATCCGAAAAAGGGTCGTTCTTTGTTGCAGATGTCCTTCACTTGTGTGGAGCTGGTCTCGAGGCGAAAAGTGGACATGGGCCTAGGAGCTTGCCGCTGCCATCTTCCAGCCCCCATGCCAGGGTCGTCATGTTGCTGGTCATGGAAACAGTGGAATATGGAGGTTTCCTGAAATGGAGGTACCAAATCATCCATTTATAGATGGTTTTTCCATATAAACCATCCATTTTAGGGAAACCCCCCATATGTTATGGAGATACTTTATGGGGATGTTTTAAAGATTTTATGGTGATGTTGATGATAAGATACTTGGTGGTGAAGACCAGATTCCGTTGCCAGCAATTTAATGACGATATCATTGGGATATGCTTTGGGATATGTTATGGGGTTGAGGGATTGTGGCAACAGTATGGATTTTACGTCTTTCTCCAAAAATGGAGAGGACGCCAAAGGACAAAAGGACAAAAATGGAGATAAACCATATACCCTCTGGTAAACTGTCCCATAACTATGGAAAATCCCCATTTTTAATGGGAAAATCCACTATTAATGGCCATTTTCAATAGCTATTTTGACATAACCAGAGGGTACCCTATTTTGGGACATACCCATATCAAGCCTGCCATGAGTTGGGGCTTGAAGCGGCTAATTTCATGGGAAGTTGGCTAGTTCCAATTCGATTGCATGGTATATACAACCAAGAATAGTTTCATGGGTTTGTCCAAAAATGATAGATGGGTCAAAACAAAAAACTAAAAATGACTGGTGTTTCATACCAGATTCAAATTTTTAAGGCAATTTTGTGGGCCATCGTGGCACCCCATGTTTCGAGCCATGGCCATACTGGGTGATACTAAGAGTTGTGGCAGCTGTAACCCCACTTCAGCAGCAAGGGGATTTTTTTAGCCTGTGTATGTATATGCATATGTATTTATCTATATATATGTATGTGAATGTATATTTATACTGCTACATGTATCTATCAATCTATCAATAACATGTATGTATATATATACGTATATATACGTACATATTTTATGAATAGAAAGAGAGAGAGAGAGAGAGTCAGATTGAAACCATTAAACAAAAAATGCTTCAATGATCTTTTCGTACAAAACAAAGATTGGCTGGAACTTATGTTCATCTGGGAAATCAGATTGGGGTGCTAATCTACTTGAAAGCCGTACCATCTTTGTACCCACGGCAAAAGTACTGATATGACACATGGCACGGCACGTGGGGGCCTAGGTGCCTAGTCATCACCCCTCGTGGACCCTCAGACTGATGGCTGATGTTGGCATTTCCTCCTGGAGAAATCGGTTTACCCTTCAGCCCGTAGGTGATCAAACATGGCAATGGCAAATCCCTACAATAAATGGAGCTTTTAATGAGAAGCTAGTCTATAAATGGGGGAAATTCCACGCAAGGCATGTTTGATTTCCGGAGTGTATTTCCATCATCCGACCCGAAAGACTCTCTGCAGCATGGTTCCAAGTTTTTGGCCAATGGGAAGCAAGTAGGGTAGACCAGGCTCAAGACAGGAACAGCCAGGTGGACGACCAAGAAATAATGTTGTGCATCAACCCAAGTTAGAGGTGGGTGGACGGACGAAAACCAACAAGAATAAGTCCGGTTCATCGAAAATTGGTATATCAAACGCAGGGATACTCTGCATCAAAGCGCAGAACCTAACCCAGATATGGACCGTGAAACTCAAAGGTTTTAATCCTATTCGCAAAACTAGGAAATTGTAATCCATCCTATAATACATCCTTCCCACCGAAACCCACCAATAATCCACTCGGGATGAAACACCACTAATATTCAGACTCTACCGATTCCCGCCAAGAATCCCTTCATTCATAAAATACAAATTCCCAATGAAACGTTGTTTTACAAACGTGGATCTATGAAAATCTCTAGGCCGCTGCCTTTTTTGAGCTTGGCAACTCCGTGTCCAGAACTTCGTCTGAGATCTTCCTATCCTTGGGACGCGAACAAACCCAGGACTTCAACCGGTAGATTCCACAAATTGGAGTCATCCGGCCCTTCAGTAAACATACAAAAAGATATGGAAAATCCACCCGACTTATGTACGTAGATCATTTCCGAACTGGAAACAACCATGGATCCATGGATTTTCGCTATCTTGGTTTACTGGAGACTAATCTGAACGTGGTTTTTCGCCCACGCATAAACTATCCCATCCATTTTTGGATGTTAGAATATTCACATCATCCCAGTTGTATCCCGGTTCTCTTGGAGGGTCATAGTCCCTAAAAACCCGGAAAAAAACCTGGGAAAAACGTCTCAGAATGTCTCAGATATTCCCAATTATGGGCTCAATTCTTGAAACTTCAATCGCATAAAACAGCAAAACGACTCGGGATGAAGTCACTTAAAGTTCGCTCGTTAGTTTTGGTTAAACCCATGTGCATTGAAGAAATTAGTGATACTGTGGATTCCAAAAACCTGACTTCGCAGGTGTTTTATATCATTATAACCCCATTATATATGGATTTGTATATTCATATGTCATATTTTCAATCATATCATATATCATGTATATGAGTGTGCAAATGTGTATCTATTGGTTTTGGGGAGAGACTGCAGAAAGCATTCTTACGTGCTAAAAGGAGCTACACAGAGGGGCAGTCCCCCAAATGACCAAGATTTGCCAAGTTGGACTTCCCACGTAAGGTCTGGATGAATCATAAACCATCCGAGACCCAAACTCGTTCCGCCATCAAACTCATGGTTCCCTACCCTTAACCATCATCTATTTGTGGTCCGTGGTCCGTTGATGTCACTATAACAACCACATTAACTGTTACAAAGAACTGTACAACAACTGACAGGAGATACAACCGAGAAATCCAAGAAATGGCCATGGAACCATACCAACAACAACCAACAGCATCTCTTTTTTTTCGGATTTCTTTTTTTTCGGATTTCTAAGTACATGGTATAAAAACGAACAACTGACACTACAACAGGTGCCAGCTGCCCAGGGGACCCACCTGTATCGCTGGTTACTTGGAGATACTTGGAGTATGGCTTTTCTAACCATAGGTAGTTCACCCATTTATCTGGGTAAATTGTCATATTTCACTAACCTGAATTGTGGGGCCATTTGGGGATGATTTACCCTATACATTCACCATGATTCCAGGGTTAGGGAGAACAGGGTTCGGTCGTTATAACTTACCCAGATTTATAGATGGGAGAATCCCACTTTTTTTGGGGGACGTACGATCACCAGGGGTACGTTCACCAGGGGTTCACCGGTTGCGATCAGTGGGATGACCGGGTGAATCCAGCAAGCCAAGGATCATCGTTGGCCTTATCTGCCAGCAATTTCACTAGGAGCACTTCGATTTCCTGAAGGACTCCTGGATCAACATGGCAAAATTCTCTGGGATTCCCGCAAGGGATAAAAGGACCAATATAACCTATGATTCCGTATGGCTTCAAAAATTCTACCCTCTGGTAATTTCTGTCAGTTCGCCTTTGAAACTCTTCCTTGGAAACAGGCAAATCATCGAACTAAATGTTGAATTACCCGAAGGTTTCGCCATTTGGAAGGCAATGACTCGCCCCCGGAACAATGAAGGCCTTAAGGGTACACTAACCCGAAAAATATAAGCTCCTATTATTGGGGCTTAACATTGCAAGGCCGGTCCCCTTCGACTTTCGTAATAGCATTGGCTAAAAGACCCAACTTCCCTGGTTTGAGGATATGTTTCTTGTAAAAAGAGTCCTTTTCTGTTTTTTTTTTGGGGGGGTAGAGATATGCTAAAATCGTGCGGCAAGCCCAACTAGAGACCACTTTCTTGGATATCGTTTTTGATATTCCGAGTGGTGAGATTGGTTACATTGGGTATATAGTTTATATCTGGATGTTTATGGCATTGGGTTTACCACTTTATTCATGTTTGTCGGTTCGCAATGCGATTTCTGCGGATCATCGAGCCGCGAAAGTACCCCTCTTCTGTCCCATTATACTGGTTAGTTAATACGGATTCACACTTCATATGTCAGTTCATAATTATCATTATTATTCTTATTATACCAAGCGCTATGTCAACCCTGCAAAATTAAGCAACCAACAAGTATCAACAAGTGTAATTTAATGTGGTGCCTCCTTGTTTTAAGTTGTTTTTCAACTCCTAACTAGAGTTACACCAAACATCCCAGTTCACCTACTCATAAATCACCCTAGCGATCATGACTTCATTACAAAGCCATATAAATCACCATCTTTGTTCAGAGATCCATATAAATCCATTAACAAAATTCCCCTATCAATCCCCAATTCGAAGGGAATTCACAACTGCGTCTGCCTTGAAGAGTCAGTTTCTCTTCACACATTGCGTCAGGACATAAGCTGAAAAACCACCCGGTCCAAAGTCTGAGCCAAAAACCCACAGATTCCAAGGTGGTTGGGACGGTTGGGCGAGAAAGCGATCGATTTGACCACGGCAATCAGCACACTTTCCTGTGAGCCATGCCTAAAATGAAGTGCATTATTGTAGGGTACAAATTGAAGATCCAAGACCCTCCAAAAGCATATCGCGGTATCGCGGTATTGATCAAGCGTTGCGCCGCAACGCTGAGCCTTTAACCATGAAAACACACATGGCATGGTTGATACTGATACTACTTACCCCACTTAATAAGTTATTGATAACCCTAACCCATCTATAGATGGAACAAGCCACGAAAAAAAAGGGGACTTACAATCACCAGTTGGTTGCGTTCACCAGTTGCGATCGATGATGCCCCGTACTCCCAACCAACTCTGGGCAGTCTCCCGGTTCTGGGCAGTCGTAAGCCCATCGAAACAACTGGTGCCTACATGTCCTACTGTTGCTTGGCGTTCCCGTTTTGGATGATTATTATGAAACCCATCAAACCAAAGATTCCAAGGTGTAACCTCATATACCCTCCAGTAAACTAACATAGCTACAGAAAATAGCCATGTATGGCTGATTGACCTATTAAAATGGTGATTTTCCATAGCAAACTGTTACCAGAGGGTATCGTTTCTGGTCAAACCCCTAGCCCAATACTATATCATAACTATATCAATCATACCGTATCATATTCCCATTTGGATTCTTCAAGCCCTCTTGTGATTTGTTCTTTTTTTTTGGATGGGGGGGGGTTCTTTAGATAGGGATACTCCAAATCACCCTTTCGATATATTTCAATATTGAAAGCCAGGGTTTTCCTGAACCCACGGCGAAAAAAGACACGCCCAATCGCAGCACTCCGACATCCGACCCCCCGGGCTGCCCCGCACCTCATTCTGCACCCCGCCCAAAATCAGAAGCGAGCTGCCCGAGGGGACGGCACAGCAGGCGCGTCGCGGCTCCTCAACTGCCGCAGTTGCAGAGAAAATCTGCTGTTTCTGCTGTTGTACCCTCTGGTAATGACTAACATAGCTATTGAAAATGGCCATAGAAATAGTGGATTTTCCCATTAAAAATGGTGATTTTCCATAGTTATGTTAAATTACCAGAGGGTACAACCTGAAATTGCCATTGTTAGTAGTGAAAATCATTGGGAGTTGCCCCAAACTTACAACCTTGAGTTTTGAGTGTGTCACCAGAAGTGCTGGGGTCGCTGGTTCCAGATTGCAACCCACCAGAAAATCGTCGTTCGGAAAGAGGTCGGCTGCCCAAGTACTGCGTTCCTTTTTCTGATCTTCTTTACCCTCTGGTAATTTAACATAGCTATGGAAAATCACCATGTTTAATGGGAAAATCCACTATAATATACGGTCATTTTCAATAGCTATGTTAAATTACCAGAGGGTATTCCTTTTTACTAGAAAAACTGGTTGGTGGTTTCAACCCCCCTGATGAATATGCTCGTCAACAGAGACCATCATCCCATATCTATGGTTGAAAACAACTAGTGTGTGAAACCACCAAGCACCTACTATCAATTCGATCTCCATCACTTTGGTGTCATAAACCCGGCACAAAAATACCATAGATGGTTAAGGATCCAAAAATCAAGCCATCAACACTCATTTATCAACAAGATATTCCCTTTTGTTTTTCGTATGAAATCCTCATCTTCGGGCCGTTCCCCATGAAAATCACCCCATGAAATTGCCATGTCAGTTCGCTCCAAACCAGCCCATCCTGCAGCTGTGTAATGGTCTCCCAAGCGCTGTTCCCTGGTGTGAACCTAGTTGGGCTTCGCCGGTTCACCGACCAAATCTCTGATTTTTTTTGGTGCAGATCAGAGGTTCTGAGAGATATTAGAATTGAGGTGTGTTTCTTCTCACTGGGATATGGCTTTGTCGAGAAATGAGAGTATGCCCTGACAATCTTTACATTTATTTTATATATATATATAGTTATATAGTTATATAGTTATATAGTTATATGGTTATATGGTTATATAGTTTTATAGTTATATAGTTATGTAGTTATATAGTTATATAGTTGTATAGTGTTATATATATATGTGTGTGTGTGTCTTATGTGTATATTATAATAATATATATATACATATTATATTATATACATATTATTGTATATGTGTATATTATTATGCAATATACACGTACATAAATCAGCAAAATGATTGAAATTCCTGGGACGTAACTTGCATCCGTACCTCGTTTACTTGGAGTTCATCGTCCTAATGAAACCTACCCCTGGTATCCGGCAGCATGGCTGGGAAAATCATCGATTTTGTGGGATAACATGGGAAAAACATGGGAAATATGGGAAAATCACCGAACTTATGGTGGATTTTCCAGCAAGCCATGCTTGGCAAAGGCTCAAAAAAAGAGCCTCTCTTGGTAGAGCTGCAAAAAAATGGGTATATAAAAGTTTTAAAAAAACAACAAATTGATCAGAAAGGAGCCTTGACCCAAGAAGCCGAGGTCAGTTTTTCAACCTCAAATCCCATGGCTTATCAAAATTGTCCCATGTTTACGACGCCATAGGCCCCTAAAGTTCGTCAGCAATCAACTCGGATCTACCCAGAAGAAATACCCGGCCTGGTAAACATAGAAAAAGCTATTGAAGTCATGGCCCAGTCGAAATAGTGGATTTTCCCATGAAAAATGGTGGATCTTTCAATAGCAAACTGTTAAATTACCATAGGGCAGAATTCGGATATCCAACTTGTTGACCTCAGATATCCAGAGATTTTTCTAACTATATTGGCTAGTGACATCACATCCAAGTAGGACGGTAGAATTGTGAAGTACGTGAAGTACCACCGAGATGATTACGTTCAATGGAATGAGTCAGGTTTCCAACCCTGATTTGTTGTCAAAGTATGCTAAATTAAATCACTATATTATATTAGACAAACTATGCATACTGTACTGTTGATGGTTCAATCGTCATATGTTTTGATTGTTGTTCCATCATATCATATCCCATCATATCCCATCATATGGAGTCAAACCTCATGAAAAGGTCCTTAAATCCCATGATAGTCCCATTACATGCCCAGTTCTGTTGGAAAAAGATCTTCATCCGCGGCCTCTCGATGGAACTCAAGTTCTGGGGTCCGCGGCATCCTTGATCCGATGGGTCATTCTTGATCCGATGGGTCATGACTCAGGTGGCTGGAGTTGATGGTTTTTCAATGTGGATAACGAGATACATCAAAAAATGGATGTGATTTTTGAAAAGAGGTGCCTGAAAAAAACTGGAATAAACATCCTTGTCACCGGGGGGATTGCCGTTTTATGAATGTGCTTAGTAAGTTGTGTATATATATATACTGGTTGGTGGTTTCAACCATCTTGAAAAATAAGAAAGTCAATGGGAAGGATTATCCCATATATTATGGAAAATAAAAAAATGTTCCAAACCACCAACCAGTATATATATATACACATACGTATTTGTAAAGGCCTACCAGAAACACCAGATAAAAGTTGTAAACAAACAAAAACCTATCTTCGGGGCCTCACTTGAACCAGAAATCCACCCTTCAATGAATCTGGTTGGCAGCTGGTTAGTTTGAAGTTGCCATGTTTGCTGATATCTGGAGGATACCTTTGAAAAGGTTTCAATTTGTTTCAAGTGGGACCCTTTGAAAACGCCAAAAACAATCCAAAAGAGGTTTTGCCCCCCAGCCCCAAAGGATGTAATACCCAGGTCACGCGAAATACTTGTTTCTACAGTAAAAGGATCATGATCACACGGCAAGTGAAGTTACCAGGATTAACTGACTGACGGGCTTACTCCCAAAAAGTATAGGTTTTCTCCTAACATGCTACCCCAAAAATTAACCAACCCGAAGGTTTCACGAATTCAGGGTTTGATGTCATGTTTTACTTGTGTAGAAGTTTTCATAGGGTCTTTCAACCAGGGTTGTTGACCAGATATATGGTTTCGTCCACAAGACCCGCTACTCTACAATCCACTGGTGCATCAAAATTTCTCCCATTAAAAAAAAAGTTGGGGTGTTTTAGAATCTGTACAAAGACTTAAAAAGTATCCGAAGATCCCAAATGGGAATGGGTCAAAACCTACCACAATTTAGAGGAATGGACCTCCGGCAATACCAGCTATTTCAGGATACCTAGGGTCCCATGCCCCCATTTTCCCAATGAAAATCGCTGCCTCCACAGGCCCATAGGCTGCCCATCAACGCGCAGGCCCCAAAGCCTCCGACGGGTCAAAGGAGGGATTCCCAATGGGATGTATAGCGTGGATATAGCGGGGATATAGCTGGGATGTGGAAAAGTAATATATATGATAAATGATATATATAATTATATATATATACAGAGCTGGGATGTAGATTATATTGGTGTACAAATATCTATAATATATATATATATATAGCAACCTTCAACACATATGGATACAATTGGGAGATAATAACTATTTGATGGGGATGTCGTGCGATATAACACCAACAACTAGATCAGAGAAAAAAAGTAAAGTGGGTATAAAAAGTAGAAAGACCAAAAAGATCGATCTTGGCACCATCCGCTTCAAGACTTGTTTAGTGCTCTAGAGTTTATAACGTCTTCCATCTTTTGTTTAATAAAACGGGCCTCACGATGATCCTGAAAAGTATGGCGATCTCAATGGGGAAATTGATGATAAAGCATAGGATGTTGGTCATGCTTCGTAATGTGAACTACACAATGCCATACGAAAAGTTGGTTCTCCAACGACTTACCAGTTTGGGGTTGTATGAAAAACCACACCCTCAAGACTGGGTTTATTGTTGGGTTTGCTACACTACTAGGACACAATTGCAGTACCCAATGTCGAATTTGGACTTGGACCAGCGCGTCAGCGCTGGTTCTTGGACATATTCATAGAATTCCAAGCGAATATACCCAGCACCTCTAGCCCCGGTTTGGGGTAGTATAACTGTATAACAGTATATCAGCGTTCCTTACACTTCCCCTGCGCCCCTTCAAACATAAAATTCTGGTGTGAAAAACATTGGCATGAAGGTTTGATCCAAAACCATGTAACGCCTTTTGCCTTTTGACTGAAAGCCATCTGAGTGGAGATCCCAATAATATATCCCAATTGTTTGTGCTAAAGTCCTATATGTAAGTCCCCAGTAGAAATTCCCGGGCTCCGTTCCGGCTTTCAAGCCATTGAAACAGAAAACTCAAGCGACACTGCTATTCTTGGAAAACTTTCCTGGTGAAATTCCATCTGGTTATGACTAACAGTTCGCCATGGAAAGATCCACCATGCTATTCAGTTCGGTAAACAATCTATTTCTATGGGCCATCGAAAAACCATGGCGAACTGTTAGTCATAACCAGATGGTATAACAACCATAAATCACCATATATTTCCCATATATTTCCAATAAATCACCATATTTCCTATATATTTCCAATAAATCACCATATTTCCTATATTTTTCCAATAAATCACCATATTTCCCATATATTTCCAATAAATCACCATATTTCCATAGTAACCAGAGGCTATCTTCTTTGGGGACCCAAAAAAACATCCGAAAATTCTCAAAAAATTGCCTGCGCGTGGCTCCTGCAGCGGCGGCGCCCTCCGCCATCCTTCAGTGCCTCATTTAAAGGCTTTGTGAGGTGATGTTCCCTCCAGATTTTGCTGATCTTTTGTTGGGCTTATGGAAATATCATGTGATATAATATATATATATATGTTTATATATATATATATATATGTTTATATATATATATATATATGTTTATATATATATATGTTTATATATATATATGTTTATATATATATATGTTTATATATATATGTTTATATATATATATATGTTTATATATATATATATATGTAACCAACAGTATGGGATATGGGTGTGTGTCTGAAAATTGGGTGTAGCCGTCAAAAATTGTCATGGCATAAGGAAAGTGAAGCTTTCCAAGCATCAAATGTGGGGGTACCCTATTTTCACATAAAGCCAATGGTGGCAAGCAGAGTTCGACAAAAACTCATCCAATATCTCCTCGAATGTGTACCCAAACTGTATCTTCATCCAATCATGTGTTAAAATGTGTGGTTTAAACAAGTGCGTGTGATTTTCTCGGTTTGGTAAACAAAGAACAACTAATAGAAACATATTTGTGATCATTAGCCCCAAAAAATCGGCCGTACCTGATTCATCCCAATGTCACCAGTCATGGTGTTTTTTCGAACGAAGCTCGAAAAGGCGAACCGGTCATCATCGGGGAGCCAACCAATGTCGTGGTCTCGAAGCTTCAAATAGTGCACCTGACTCAGGGAGGATTTGGCGGCCGGAAATTGTCACCTAAATCGTTGTGGAAAATGATAAAATAAGAAAGTTCAACCATATTTATCCACATTCATCATGTAGGTTTCTGTGGATCCTGGATATATTTAAGGATATACATGGTCCATACCCTCCGGTAATCCTCCCCTGGGAATGATCAACCGGGGGGGTTTCTCGATCCAAGTTTGATATGCAAATGGTAACCTTCCGCTTTTTTTTTACATTTGGGGGTACCCAATCCAAGAAGGACGGATTGGGGGTGACTTTCATATGCGAGAACTATCCATAATTATCGGGTTCAAAGTGGTTCCAACAAAATGGTGGTTCCAACTGTGAAATGTTGACCCATGGACCTATGCGTTCACGCCCATATGGCAATGGATCAAAACCCTGGTACTTGTGGACCCCAAAATAGCTGGTAAATGATGGAAAATGGATGTTCGTCTCACCAAAAACTGATAATAGGTTTTCACCCCCATTTTTTATTAATGATTCAACACCCCATGTCAATAGGATTTTCCACTCCAAACCAACCATTTTGGGATACCCCCATGGAGAAAAGCCCCAGTTTCCACGGGCCTCGCCCGAAGCCCCGCCAAGTCGATCATCCCAACCACCCAGCAAATAAATCGCCTCGGACGTCGGAGACTTCGTTCGTTCGTTTCGTGGTAGGACGAGGGAGTTCAACCCCGGTGTTTTTCAACGAAAAAGGCATGAAACGAGGCAAAAAATTGGGGGAAAATCTGGAGAAACCCTTGGAAAAATGGAGTTCAAAGCCAAAAACACTTGGAAAACAAGCTGGGAAGATCATTGGTATGACGGATGTTTTTGACTCGTATTGATTTGGAACTGTATACTTTGTATATCAATTCTGGGAAATGCCAGATTTGAAGCAGCAAAAAGTGCGTTTCAAAAGCACCTGCGGCTGCCGGTTCATCAACCAAGAACCCCACAGTCATCCACAGATCGCTGGCTTCGATCGCTGATTTAATGGTCATTTAACGGTGATTTAAGGGTGGTTTAAAGGTGATTTATATAATGGTGATGAGCTGGGTGGCGAACTCCGAACTGCCTGGCCCGAAGGCGACTTGACCAAGGCTCAAGACGTTCTAAGGTGGCTGATGTGGCACAGCGCTGCTCTACGGCCTGTCGTCCCATATTAAGGATGATGATGGTGACTAACGGTGGATATAATGGTGGATATACTCTTTGGTAATTGAAGACTTTGCTATGCATATTGCCATATTGCCTCTGTTCTTCGGTGATTTACCGTCCCTTTTTAAATGGTGCTTTTGATCCAGCGATGTTCAATTGCCAGAGGCAAACCATGAACTAACCATATCTAGCCATCATTTCTGGAGTAAACTACACTCCCAAAGTTGGATCAGCACCCCACGAAACTGGGGTAACGGGCATCATTCAAACCCACCTGGGCGAAAAATGAAGCAACATCCCCACAGCAACTGTTGCATCCCATAGCTTCACAGCCATCTCAAGCTCAAGAACCGAAAAAGTATCATCATGTCAACCATCGCTAACTGTCAACCATCGTTTCTTGCTGATATCCTCATGATTACTAGCAAATCCTGTGTCTGTGTGACCCATGATATCCCAAGGTTTATCATGTTTCAAGCAACCCCGAACAGTGAACAGTTCGATTCATCGTACCACTCTTCTAGTGGCACTCTACTTTTCAATTTCTTTTTGGAAACTCATACAATGCCAAAAAAAACTGGATTAGAGTGGAAAGATGCGCCGTTTTCGCTATGATTCCACATACATTCACCATGCTGAGGTAGGTCTGGGAGGTTTCATGGAGACGTGTCCGCGGATGCATGACGTGTATCCAAAACATGTCTGCTGTTGTTGGCTTAATATCTACCTTTGATGGTCAGTTACCTTTTTTTGGTTGATGTCCCATCAAAAAAACAAACAACATTGTCCATGGTTATATATCATCTCCTCAATGATGTATTGATGCACCATCGAAAGTAGATCTTCTCCACAACTGATGGTTAACATACCCACTCACTACCATTCTTTCATGCAACTTCCGGTACAATGATTCACTCATCTGAAGAGTTCACCTTATTGGGAATAGAAAAACCTTGGAAAAAACTCCCATCATTCCAGTGACGTCGCGACGTGAGGTCGTTATACAGCAATCTGTCTAGGTATATCCCCATTTATCCACATATATATCCATTATGAATTCGTTCAATCCCCTCTATTGTTGGTTAATACCCCCATTGTATCCCTCTTGTTGATTTAACCCAAACAAAATTTCACTCAATCTCCAACTAAACCATACATTTCCCCATTGTTGCTGAAAAAATCCGAAAAAAGTCTTGTTGGTTATGTGCCACTTTGGATTCCCAGTATGGATAAAATTGAATCTCTAAAAACATTAGAGCAAACCTCTTTTTTTCCCCAATTAGAACATAGGTTTTTCAGAATCCCATTTTTAGTTAGTTAAATCCCAACAGTTGATGGACAAATCCATGTTCGTTGATGGCTATTGGATAACATACCCATGATTTATTGCTCAATTCTGCTTCATTCCAAGCGTCTGCCGCCAGTGCTCTTCGGGCAGGTTGCAGCGGCGGTGCCTCGGGGCAAAACATGGCAAAACTGCTGCGTTTCCAAATGCAGGGCTTTCAACAACTTAGTGACCGTTAAAACAAAGAAAAAAACCATGTGTAAAACAAATGTAACATGTTTACATATATATATATATATATATGTGTAAATGTATATGTATATCTACATGTATATGAGCAAACCAAAAAAAAGATTGAAAAGATTGGAAAGCTGCTAGGATTGCGGCAACTTGAGCCTTTTCGGGGTGCTGCTGTATATACAAGTTGGGGTGTGTCTATGAATCTAACTGGCTTATGCTAGGGTTCTTAACCACTTACCATGGGTGGGATGCACTTGCAGGCTGAAAAACAATGCAAAAAAGAATAGAAATGGGAAATTCAAGCAGCAATTGCTTGAGGTTGCAGGTTTACAGCCCCAGAGTTTGCGCATGGACATCACTGCCATTTTTGTTATGACATTGGAAATCCTCTCGGGAGCAATCAATTCAGGAAATGTTTTGCACTTTTGATATGGTTTTCTTTCGATTTCTAAATATGGTTTTGACACGCCTGAAATCCGGATTTCTAATTCCCATATGTTTCAAATATGGCTTTGATATGATTATCGATATATTCCTCTTCGAGAGTTGGGAACGTAAATTGTATCAAAATCGTGTCGAAAAATTGTATCGAAACGGTGCAAGACCGTTATATCTCCAGGACTGATCAAAACATGGAAATGTTGATAAATTTTGGAAGAATAGCATCCTGACATGGATGTGCCCATTGTTGTTGATCAATCCATCCCTATTCTTGCTGACTACCTTCCTCTAAATATATCGAAAGATGCAGAAAAGCCACCAGTTGCAAAGTTTTCCCATCATGTTCCGAACGGTGGTCTTCCCATGGGGTTCCCCAATAGCTGGATGGTTTATTTCATGGAAAATCCGAAAAGAATAGCTGGATGAGAACTGGGGGTATCCCCATGGCTTGAGAAACCTTCATATCTATGGTGGCTATGAAAAAATCATCATCCCAAAAGATCCCAAAATATCCCAAAATATTCATCATCAACCCATAGCCACCATCATGGCCCACATTTACCATGAAATTTTGGGATATTTACCAACCATCAACCCTAGATATGTTCATCAAGCCTCATCCATCCCAAAATGGCCAACATTTACCAAGGAAATCCTCCCCGTCCGTCCGTTTCCCGGGGATCCCGAACTCGCAGCCACTGCACCGCTTGCTCCAAGCGTAGGAATTCCACCTCCGACAGAGGAACTTCGCCTCAGCCAGCACCGGAAAATTCGAAACTTCGAAACTGCAGTGAATTGGAATAGTTAAGTGGATGTGGATATTAAGTTTAAGTGGAAATAGCATGAAATAGCTATTAAGTGGATATTAATTCACTAGCTAATAGTGGTGAATAGGAATAGTTAAGTGGATATTCCGTTTAACCGTGAAATTAGCTATTAACCACTATTAGCTAGTGAATAGTTAATAGTTAATAGCTACTAGTTAATCGTGAATGGTTAACAGTTAAATACATCGTTATTCCCAAAAGATTGTGACCGTGTGTTTGACTGGAACATGACTGGAAGAATGGAGGGCTTGTTGAGGTTCCCAATATATCTCCATCAAAATAGAACTTTTTGGCTGGTTAAATCCTCTATCCCCACATATTCCCATCATATTCCAACTATATCCCAATGCTATTCCCAAATTCATTACACCATTGTACCAGCCCGTTGGTTAAATCAGTTACAGTAAATCCCACTAAATCACCAAATCATCCTAGATCATGTATATTCCCATCTTACTCCCACTATATCTCAAATTATCTCCCACCATATTGGCGAAGTCCCATCTCCAACAGGCCTTCTGTCACACCGTGGGCAGCCACCAAGACACCCCTGGCGGATCTCGGGGGATCCCAAAGGTATCAATTTTCCAGAGAGCACCAGGCATTCCAAACACTGATGATAGATAGATACATAAATATAGTTTTATAATATATATATATGTATATATATATATATACATGTGTGTGGATATGTATGTATACATGTGTATATATACATATATATATATATGTATATATATGTGGATATATATATACATTTGCGGATATATATATATATACATATGTGGATTATATAAATATGTGTGTGTATGTATACATGTTTATGAGCCGTCGTCAAAAGCAATTGTTTACGCTTGGTGCAAGAATATAGGTTATCGCTTTTGGGGGGGCTATCGCTGTACAGTGTTTTGTTCAAATCAATACTAAATAATGCAAAGCTGCAGTGAAATTGTTTTTCATCAAGATTTCCAAAAGCAGCTGTTTCCAAGAACTAATACTATGTATATTGTATATTATCATATATGTATATATGTATAGAAATTGTAGAGACATATACTGCATATTTTTAAAGCAATAAAGAACTATTTCAGGGTGATGTGTTAGGATACACACCACATCATAGTGGGTCAGATAGCCACCATCTTTCTTGAGGCTTCTAACTGTTCTACCCAGTAATCAGCTACATGTCAATGGAAAATCCCCTATAAATGAAGGTTTTAATGGGAAATTCAACTATAAATGGTGGTTTCATTGTTCGTTTTCGTCGAACATAAGTACGGCATTTCGCCATTCCTGGGGCTCAAACCATAATCTTGACATATCTGGAAAAATGCACCGACAAATATGGGAATCAGATTGCCCAAAAGTTCACTCATCCGTCTTCCAACCTCATGCTTCTTTGACAGTTTGAACGAAATCCCTCCCAACCTGATGAGATAAGCCCTTTCTTTGGGCTGAAAGTAGGGTGCCGAAAAGCCAATGGTTTATCACAGTCAGTGTCCGAGTAAAATGGCATCCCCTATCTTTGAAGAAACCCCTGCAACTCGTCTACCCCCGACTCTGCGCTTGATCAATGCATTTAGCGGTGATTTGTTTGAGACAAACCTCCCTTTTTCCATATATATATATATATATTTATATATATATATACATATTTATATATATATATTTTTTTGATCCACATTATTCCCAATTATCTACCTCTCTCTCTCATATCTGCTTCGTTGCATCACGATTCCCATCCCGAAACGCGCTCGGGAAGCTGCCTGCAGCTGGCGGCTGCCAGCTCACAGCGTGGGAAGTGGAGGTTGGCCGCCTCCGAAAGGATCCAGCCCATCTGGAGGTTGGGCCCCTCCGAAACGCTGAGTCCAGGGTTAGAAATGGAGGGTTTTATATGGTTTCATGGGTCATTAAATGTCTCCATTGAACATCACCCAACCATTAGGTATATGGTCTATAATGGCTACTATAAGGTGATGTCCAATATTCCCAAAATGGGACAGTTACCAACCCCTGGGTTTTATGGGGAAAACATGGGAATATATGGGGATACCCTCTGGTTATGTCAAAATAGCTATGGAAAATGGCCCAGTCGAAATAGTGAGTTGTCCCATGAAAAATGGTGATTTTCCATAGTTATGTAAACGTTTACCAGAGGGTGATGTGGGTAAAACAATGCCATGTTTACCATCCCCCAGTCATCACATTTTTTTAAGGTGGCATAAACCTTTCCCAAATGGTTCATTATTGTTGTATCCACGTTACAATCCTATTTCATCATGAATAGGGAGGGGCGAACCGTTTGACTTTATGATCATCCCGTATTTTATCATCCATAACTGGGGGGGTTGCTCCAGAAAAATTCGGCCCTTTAGTCCGAATTTCTGCCATGATTCACGTTTGGAAACATCCAGGAATCCAGGATGGATTTGACCCAAAAAGACTGACCGGGGAAGCCAACCATAAATATCATAGTGATAAAAAGCCAACCATTTTCTGGTGCATTTTCCTAATTAAAAACAGCTATTGAATGGGATTTAGTCAAGATACATAGATTGTTATGCGTTGCGTCCACACAGATGGTTGAGTTAAATGGGTATAATATAGACCACTGTATGGGGATAGCATGGGATATCATTGGGAGAGAATTGGATAATGGGATATATAACCAAAAATAATAGGAATATTTCAGCAGTTTCATGCCAAACGTTACACTTGGCATGTATGCATGTGTATGCATACATATATATATATAGGAAGCCTTCGTCTGGTTGACCATTAAAACAAGTAGGTTTAACATTGTTTCACCAACAAAATCAGTACTTGATGATGACCACTCTTGGATACACTGCATGTTTCTGTTGCTGATCAAGTCAATATATCTAAAACCAATGTTCTAAACCACTTGATTTGGAGGGTTTTCTAGGTTTCCCCAAAAAATCAGACAGACATACATATACTCATACATATATATATATATACATATATATATACATATATATATATACATCGACAATATCATTATGTATATATATATGTATATGTATATATATATATGCACTTGTATGTGTATAAATATATATATATAGTAAATGTTAATATACATATATCATATATCTGGGCAAATTATAATTCACTAACCTGAATTTTTGGGCCAGCTATGGGGATGATTCCAGTGCCTGCCCGGCCTGCCCCCAGGATCCGCGCTCCATGTCGAAGACCTACCGAGAAACTCTCGTCGCTCACATCTTTTTTTGTGCAAAATGCTGCGAAAAATGTGGAAAATGGAAAAAGTCACTGGAAAACTACGAATTGGATCTGAAAATCGAGATGAAAATGGAAAAGTATCCATACAAACTGGTGGAAAATGGCAAAAATGGATGGAAACGAATGTAAAAATGAGCCGAATTATGGTGTTCGTTGAGCCGAATTTCACAGTAACAGCAACTCTGAATGATGGAAATCCCCCTGAACCAACTGTCGCTGATGGTTGTTCATTGGGGAATACAAGAAGCGCATCTGATGGATGGCACGGCTGGGAAAATCCGTGGTTCTTTCGGGAATTTCTGACCCAGTGCCCAAGTTTGATGTGAATCTAAGATATGGATATTCAGGAAAATGGCTGCATGTCCATTGCATCTTCAACGATCTTCAAGTTAAAAAGTGCCCTGCTTTCTGGTTGCCAACGCCACTTTTTCGGAACTTCTGAAATCAGGCACCCCAAGAATTTACCATGTGGTCTAGTTTGTGGAGAACCCATCCTGTTTGGATCTATGTTTACTTTCTGCAAACCACCTTTTCTTCATCCATTCAAAATCGTAAGCACAAGAACAGCATGGTGACTGCCAAACATCGTCCAAAACCATGGGTCTAAAAGAATCCTTACTTCTGCCTTGTAGTCATGTCAGGGATGCACCCCTGGTTAAGTCCCCGTTAGCCCCAGTTATGGGTTTTTACCGGACATGGTTGCTCCCAACACCCCAGATACGTTTGGGGAGAAATGTTGGTAACGAGGTAAAGTCACCTAATTTTCCCCCCAAAGTGACTATCGTTTACATTTGGCTACAATTGGTTGGAGCAACCGTGATTGTTGGTCAAAGTATCCCATTCTTTAAGGTTGAACATACCCTCTGGTAAACTGTCCCATAACTATGGAAAATCACCACCATGTTATAGCTGGGTAAATCCACGATTTCTATGGCCATGTGGGTAAATCAACTATTTTTAATCGGAAAATCACCATTTTCAATGGGAAAGATCCACTATTTCAATGGTCATTTTCAATAGCTTTTTCTATGTTTACCAGGCCGGGTAGCCATACTTCCAACCTCCACGGAATCCAGGATCTCATCTCGCATCATTTCAAAGCCACGGCCGCCCATGACGAAGACACGACCTCGGCCCCAGCTCGATGGGTGACACATTTTGCCATAGGAAAATAGTGATTGAACTAAGAAAACCATAGGAAAACCATGGGAAATCAGGGGAAAATGGTGATTTAAGTAAAAATGACCCAAAATCCATTGGAATCGGATGGTTTTCCTCAGCAGCACATCAAAGTCCAAGAAAATCAGCCCCGCTGACCACAAAACCTCTGAAAACATAGAGATGAGGCCTTCGCATGGGATATCCCCCAGTCACTGCCTTCAGTCGTCTCAATGAAACATAGCCGCTATTTGCTCATTAACCCTCCGGTGTCATCAAACGTGGCAATGAAAAATCCACTGTGAATTAGAGGTATCTACAAATGGGGGATTGTCCATTTACCGGAGGGTAACCTCATGTGTCCCTATCTTCGGTGCTACAAACCCTGGATTAAACCCAAAAAATCCCAGTGAAAAAAATCGCATGGGGTTAATGACCCTGGTTAGCTTACCCTGTGTCAGATCATAAGTCTGGTTGCTAGCCAGTTACAATCCATTTATTTGCGGTCATAGGGTTATATCATATCCCAACAGCATTGGCAAAACCTAGCCAAGAATATCAGTCACTAAGTTGATTTCGTTCAAACACCAAAAAATGATCCGAATTTTGGGATTAGTTCAACTGTTGAACCTCCAGTTCTAAGCGGTTTTGGGGGTTCAAATCGAAAAAAAAAAGTCTATCCACATATTCGGTAAAATTGACACCAAAATATCAGTTGCTAACCCTCTGGTTATTTAACATAGCCATGGTATAGATGGCCCATAGAAATAGATGGTTTACCTATTAATAGCATGGTGGATCTTTCCATGGCAAACTGTTAGTCATAACCAGATGGTAACCCCCAAAAATATCATGAAATATGGGGATGGGTCAAAACCTATTATTACCATATTTGGAAGAATCAACATCCATTAACCAGCTATTTTAGGTACCATCCGGGTGCCAGGGTTTTGACTCACAACCATATCTTCATTTCTTGGTTGCCCCAACTGCTAAACCTGAGGCTGGCACCTTGCGTGCAGGCAGCTGCGGAGCTCCAGCGTGGCACGCGCAAGCGTGGCAAAGGGGTCCTTTTTTTTTCGGTCGTTCGTAACATCGCTTCGTCATGAAAGATGGCAAGGAGTTCAATGGTATAACATGGTTGAATAGGAAAATAATAGGATGATAATAGGGTAAAAATAGGATAATAGTAGGAGATTAGGATCTTAGGATAATAGGAGAATAATAGGATTGGCAAAAACATGTATATGCTTTACCCATCTCCAGTGTCACCAAATATGCTTTTTATATGCTTGAATAGGGCTCACATTCGGATAGTAATGGGACAACAATAGGATATTGATGGATTTACCCTCCAGTAATAAAACGTGTAATCGACAAATGGTGGTATAATGGGTATATATAAGGGGATATTAATGTAATAGTATAGTAATGGGATATGAATGGCTGAACATTGGTGGTATTGAACAACAAAAATACCTTCCAGTAAACTATGGTTTAACTAATTTAACTATGGTTTGTCTATGGCTGATCTATGGTAGATGTAATTAGTACTGTAATGCTTGTTATTTAATGATGGAGATTCTTACCCCCCGGTGGCATCATGGCCATGGCCGTGGGAAATCCACCAACTCATTGGGCATCTATGGGAAAGTCATAGAACTAAAGGGTAACAACAAAACCCTAACAGCACATCCTTGGTGATTTAAGCGAACTTTATGAAAATTAGCTTCAACAATCATTGATTTCCCAACAGCTTTCAAAAACTGGTGATTTAAACTGGTGCGCAATGCAGGATAATTAAAAAACAAATGAAAATGCTTAGTCTCCAAAAATCAACGTTTAACCAACATTCAAAAAAAATGGTATATACGGTTGGTCGAAAAAGCCTAAAAAAAAAACATGGGAGAGGTTATCCCCAGGTTTTACAATGGGGAACTCAACCCACTGTCAACCCCCAGATTTTCATAAACCCTGGTTGATTAATTGTGGTGGTTCCCCCCAATTAAACAGCCTAGGGTTTATTATGGTTGATTAATCCGGGGTTGACATTAATCCCCTAAATCTAGGAGGCAGTATAGTCCCATAAATCAACAGGGAGCCATTTTTGTGGTTCCCAGTTGGTGGTGTTCGGAACCCAAAGCACCCCCGTGCTCGGTCCAGGTGTTACTCGCAATGTCCAGACTTTCGACCTGCGAAGCCGCGAGGTACTGAGATGTACTGAGTCAACTGGGTCGCTGATTTAAGGCCTTCAGTTTCTTAGAATTGCTGGGTCCCCAAGAAATCACTACCTTTCACCATAGATTCCCCATATATTCCCAATAGATTCCCCATTTCTGACTTCAAACAGCTGCAACTCCAAGTGAATCATCCCATTGTCACAGAAAAATGAAGCAGCTACACCCTGCAGTGATCAAACACAGCAATGGATTTTTCCCAAAATCATATGCCAATGATTTGTTCATCTACCTAAGGGATAAGCTTCGGCACCAGAAATGGGCGCTGAGCCCTTTCAGAGAGGCAACCGAAACAGGATAGAAACCAGGTTTGAGCGGCCCAACGCGTCAGTCCCTTGACATATCGCTTGGCCTGTTTTCGGGCTACATCCCCATTTCGAATCATGTCCAGCTGTGAAAATCTACTGCGAGACAAACTAAGGTATGGAAAATCCATGGTTTCCCTCGGAAAAGGATCTGCATTCATGGTGGATGTTCCATCTATCACAATTTGCTGGTTAGTCTATAGAGCCATTGTTTCATCGCCTACTCTCTGGTAATTTAAGATGGCCATGGAAAATGACCCGTGGGCGCACATGATTTGCCTATTATTTCCCTCACCATTTTCTATATGTTAGATTACCAGGTGCCTTGGTTCACGTTCGACCCCAACGCAATTGGATTTCTTTCCTCTTGAGTTCAAATGTTCATTTTCTATAACTGGTTGGTGGTATACCTACCCCTCTGAAAAATATGAGTCGGTTGGGATGATGACATTCCCAATATATGGAAAAATAAAAGCCATGTTCCAAACCACCAACTAAATGACTATTCCCCGAGAAAATGTCAGCTATGGATCCAAGTCTATTGTTCACATCCCAGGCTGGGGGCCGAAAGCCATGGTTCCCACCAATTCAGTTCCATCGTGCTGGGTGTTCCGGCCGAAGAGGTGCCTTCCTCAGGGATTGTCGTGGCAAAAATCATGGGTCTTGAACCCTTTAACCAACAAAAAAATGAATTTCCTGGCAACAATGAGGATTTAGCTAACAAGAAATTTTGGTAATCCAAGCTGGAAACGGGTGGTTCTCCAGTGTCAGGTCGATCGGATAGATAAAGCTAATGCCATAAATCATCCCAGTGACCAACCATAAAAGAGGGTTATAATTATAATAGGCATCACCCCGGGTACGGGGGTATACCCAGGTTCATCACCACAATAATGGATGGTTTATGAATCATTGTGTTTGCCTATATATTTGTGAATTATATCATTATATCCCATCAATCCACCATTCTTCCTGGTTAACTGCCCAGTTTCTATGGTTACAGTAACCACCCACAACGCCAAGCAAAACCCTTACCTCGTCGCAGAACGGTCATCTTTACACACACACACACACTAGACAAGAATGGATCATTATATGATCCGGCAGGAACTGAATCCTGAAACATGCAAACCAGCCTAGATTATTTGATGAATAAAAGAGCCACATGAGGTACTTCTCGAAAACGATGTAGGGCATCCGAAATTGTCAAACGTAGTCATAACCAGATTCCATAGAGTTTTGACCAGCATGTTGAAATCCAAAATGATGTTTCGGCGATTGTTTCCCAAAATAACCCATAGTTCGTCGGCGACAGGATCTCGGCGAAAATAAGTCAAAAAACATAATATTGTCGGCGATATGGTTTCGGCGAAAATCTGAGAAAGGTTCTGATGCATGTAAATTTCAAAATTGATTCCAGATTGCGACAACAGTGCAGCAAATTGTATAACATTGTGGTTGGGGTTCTAAGCTTGGCCCCGTGCTATTTCGGAAAATTCGAGCTGCAGGTACGCATGGCTGATCAGGCCATGTATCACCAGGGAAGCCAGAGTGTCTTCGTTGGTGGTAGACTCTGGACCCTGCTACCACCCCCTGCAAATTAGTGAAAACCAATAAGAAGTTTTACATCTGTTCAGATGGTACACACACACACCTCGCATGTAGCGAGGTTGGATTTTTGAAAGAACTTCGCTGGCGGAATCGGCAATACACCAGTGAAAGTGAACCTGTAATAACCTAATGTACAAACGGGCGATCACTTCAGTCAGAAGAGAAGTTCGAAGCTTGTAGAAGAACTTCGATAGCATCGTGAAAGCTCATGCGTTCAACCATCGCCCAAGTCTGATTGAGTTCCCCAGATGCCGTAGTAGCCTTCAAGGTGTCAGAAAGATCTTTAGCTAATTCATGAAGCCGGGTGGTTAGGCTGGGTTCATCTGTAGAAGATGTCGTCTCAATGGGCACATTGTGAAAAGAATGGTGTCCGTGTACAAGGGGGATCTCGAAATGATGTCGCCAATAGTCCGCTGTACGCAGGGACCAAACTACCTTTTTGTGCGCATACGTCGTTGGTCAGCCAAGTTTGTCCTTGATCTTATTCCACATAGAACGAACATCTTCCTGGGACTTGCCCATCTTGGTCGCGATCACCTTCCATGAAAATCGAGACTTCTCGTCAGCTTTCAATGTGCGCAGTTTCTCTTTGTCTTCGAAAGTCCAGAGTGACAGTGGGCTCGAGAAGCGGGATCGGGATTGATCACGTCGGCGACGACGCTTGGCAGGCGCCTTTGAAGCGAATTTAGCTTTCTGTTTGCGAGTCGGCGGTGATGGTGTTCGCGTAGACAACTTCGAGGGTGCAGGTAGTACATCAGGTGACGGGGCGGCAACATGGTGATGTGGCTCAGGGAGATGGGTTTCCACCAGTTCATCCATAAGTGCCTCTTCTTCCACCATATCTGGTGATGGGATGGGGGCATTGTCAATGAAGGCGTTGGTCTGATCCGAGTAATGTGGTCGTAGCCCATCAGGTTGATTCCATACGTCTGTGCTGAAAAGAGGAGTAGGTTCAATGTTGGAAATAAGCGTGGGTGGTAGTAGCGCCATTGCTCGATGTAGTAGAAGGTAAGCATGGTGAACATCATGAAGAAATTGAAGAAACACCGGTTCTTGAATCGAAATTGACGTCGTAGAAGGCGAAGAAGCCATGACGATGCGTCGAATATGAGCCAAGTAAAGGAAACCGAGTTTGAGAATAAGCCGGCTGAAAAAGCACTACTCCAAAATCCTATAAATTCACATGTAGTCCAAATAGGTGAAACGGTCTGCAAGATGTGAATAGTGAAACGTAAGTGCCAGCAGCAGAACGGTTCAGAATTTTACCACAATGAGAAAACGTGTAAATATTGACGAATCGGCTTTGAGGCAACGACAAGATCGAACTCGGTAAAACCTGCGGCTCTGTACAAACGGTGCAATGCGGCAAAACCTCGTGTCCGTTCGTGTGCAGAATGCGTGCATTTGGCGACCAGAAATAAGCGTGAAACAAAACCCGAAAGTTGTACCGCCAACGGTGATGCGAAGAATGGCGCCATGACCTGGTTGAAGTCGCGTGAAGGGCTGTAACGAAGGGCAAAAGGCTCGAACTCGATGCAAAAGCCCAAGAACTCCTGGTCCGGTTCCGTTTCCAGAATGATTGAATTGCCGTAGAACTCCGGGTGAAGAAAATTGGCGAAGCAGATTTCGTAGTCCCAGCTGGGGTCCGACAAGCACAGTCTGTTGTCCACATAGCGAAGAAGGCGAGCTGTAAGATCCATGGTGCTGAGTGTGGTGCGGTAGGTTCGGTACCAGATTTCTTCCGAAAGTGCGACGACCATCATGCACAGTGCTGAACTCAGTGGAGAGCCCATAGGGGAACCCCGAATTTGTTCAAAAACCGTAGTGCCAATGAAGAATTGAGTCATCTTCAAAGACATAAGAATGATGCGTTCGATGTCCCGAATGAAGATCTTCCTGGTCACATTGAGTGTACGACACGTGCGGCCTTTGACTACGTCGCCGGTGGTGTTGCCCGAAGTTGCCTTAACAGAGATGATCTCGTCCGGGTCGGTGTTCATGAGAGTCGAGAGAAACTGCAAGGTTAGGCGCCAGCTAGCGATGAAGCGGTCAGTGTCAATGCTTGTGAAAAAACCCGCAAGATCTTGGTTGTGTATTCGTGAAGTGGGAAGCGAGTCAAAATCGGTATCCTTGAGAAGCTTGATGAGATCAAATACATCGCCCCGTGCCAGGTTGTGGGAAAACGCTTGGGGTAGAAGGTTGTAGATCAGCTTGGCAATGCAATTCATCATTGGTCGAAAAGGTGCCGTGAAGAAGCTGACAATGGGTCGCCCGGCTTTGAACTGTTTCTTTCGTTTGGGAAGAACGTAGGCATTCGGTAGGTCTCGTCCAGCCCCAAGTGCCCATGGGTATGTTTTGCCAAATTGGCGGTTGATCTCGGCGATGGTCTTCTCGATGATGTTACTCGGGCTCTGCTCCAACTTGCGAAATACCAACGGGTCGGCGAAGGTGGTGGTGAGGCACTGGAAGTAGAGTACGGGGCAGTAGATCCGTAGAAATGTAGCTCGCTTGTCCTCGTTGTGAAAGATGGCTTCTGAAAAGAGACGTTTGAAGCGGCCGATGTCTTTGTGAGTGATGTGGTTGTTGAGGGTGTGGTAGTGAAATTGAATAGAACGATGCCAAAGCTCATCAATATGAAACTTTTGTAAGAAAGGGAGTGAGTTCCGGGTAGTCCACGTCCGCAAAGCCAGGCGAAGCGATGTCTGAATTTCCTTGAAAGGTGAAAAGATTTTGTTTTGAAGCGAACCAGTCGCAATGAATGTGTGTGGGCCATCCTCGAAATGTAGGTTGTCGCCGTCCAGGACCAAGTGGTGATCGAATTGAAAAACACGAAGGGCATGAGGGCGTAGAACATCGCAGGCACACTTTGGGGTTTCGCCGTCAGCCCATCTTGTAGCGGCTTCTTTGTGATTGCACATGCTATCCATCACCGAGAAAAATTTTGTGAAGACAATCGCCGTGAAAGGGGTCTGCAATGTGGTGTTGTAATGTCGAGTGTGATGAACGTGAAAGGTGAGCAGCCGCCGAAGATCCCGAGTCCAGTTGGGGCATAGTAACCAAGGTGCACGAAGAGAAACCGGTTTTCTGACTCGTTTGGCTTTCCAGAAGGTCAAAGCTCGGTCGATGGCATTGATGGCGTACGACCTTTGGGGTTCTCCTAGGTTGTTGGCAAGACGTCGAATAAAATAGCAGCCTTGGACCCCAATTTCGTTGAATCGGAGTTTCTTCTCCATGTGGAAGCGTCTGACGAAGTTACTTCCCAGATCTTGAATAATCTCCCAGAGTTGTACTCGCCGATGAAAGAGAGAACTGTGAAGAGCGTGTCGAACATGATGGGGTGTAAATCGCCAGCGAAGTTTCCGCCACAAGAAAAAAGCTCCAAATTGTCGGGAGGCGAAAAATTTGGTACGTGCTATAAGGCCCTTTCGGCAATTGAAAAACTGGTAAATGAACGAAGTATTCAATCGAGGTTGCCACAATTGAATTAAGGCCTGTTCCAAGGCCCAAAAGTTGAATTTATTGGTGTAGATCGAAAAAACAGACCACATCCAGAAATTGTCAAATCTGCACCAAAACCGTAAGGCAACTTCGGCCAGCACGAATTTATGTTGTTGCACTTGCAAGAATTTCCGATAGCGAGAGTGTTCGCGGTCCAAAACAAACGAAGACGTAAAACCAACATAAAACTTGGTTGAAAATTAGCAATGTGGCTGAAACGAATATACACCGCCTGAGGGTGCTTGAAACATTGAAGGGTGACTGACAAGTCATCCCAGGATCTGCAAAAGAAAATACTCTGCATCGAAGTGCCTTTGAGCAAGGCTTGAAGTTTCGAATTGGCCCGTGAATGTAATAACACATATTGGCCCATCAATACCGTTTGAAGCATCCGAAAAGCAAAAAAGACATCAACAGAAGGGAACAACGAGAAAGAAGTCAATAGTGCAAGAACCAGAATACAAGAATGAGCCACGGCCAAAGTTCGCATAATGTTGGCTACTTTTGAGCCAGAGAATTTCA